GAGCCAAAGGAGATGCACGGCGGTAAGAAGACACGCGGGGCATGAGCGGCGATGAGTCACAATTTCTATTTAAATGTAATTACGCTCGTGCGTATGCGAGTACAAGTGGCGACTGTACGTACGAGCACGCGTCGTCACGCCCTCCCTCCCTCCCTCCCTTCCTCCGCCCGAGCACGTTTCCTTCCGAAATAAACGCTTAAAATAGTGTACGGACACGCTCTTTCTCTCTCCCGTGTCTGATAAACGTTGGCCAACATTGTCTATGCCTAAATGCATCAATGACAAGCGTCGCGACGGCGCGATTGCCGACGCATTGGTGCACGCACAGCTGGCGAATAGATCAGGTGAACCCGGCCTCTACCTGCGTGACGTGCGAATATTTATTAATCACGCCCCATAATAGAGCTGTTCCACTTAAGACTCGCCGCGCACTCGTGAATTTGATATACTTTCATGCGCACGCCGGCGTGCACCGGGAAAATTTTCCACGCTGATGTTTTACGACCGCCTGTCCGCCTGCTTGCCGTACGCGAATAATCGTACAAAACATTCTGCATCGCGCAAGCCGAGTTACTCGCCGATCGCGCATCGTTATTACGTCGTTAATAACGAGGGCGATTTTCAAAATTGGATCGTTCCTACGCTCTCGAGAGAAAATTCTCGGCTTTTTTTATCTAATCAGTTTCGCTTTTCCTTCTTTTTCTTTCAATCTACTGTGGCAACGGGTGGCATTTGACGGTACACAAGTGTTCATTATACGCCTAATTAAAAGCTAGTTAAATTTTTTTTCCATATAAGTTACTTCCTCGCCAGACGGCGTGCACCCCTTCTTCCACCTGCTCTCGTTGTATGCACGGTTAATCTACGCGTTTTGCGTTTGCTCTTGTGGAGAGAACTGAGGATCCAATCCGTAATCGCTAAATTAGTGTCTACTGCGGCAGCAATCTCGGCGATTATCTCACAATTTTGTCGCGCTGCGATCTGTATTCGTAAAAAGCCCCCGATATTCCCATCTTATTTTCCCACTCGGAGAAACCTGACGTCTTTTATAAGTTTACAATTGCCGTGGGTCACGTAAATTTATCTTCTCGTTTCCAGCGGTACATACATAATAACCGGAATATATTACACGCGTACAAATATCAAAAAGGCATCAGCAGGACATTTAATAGGGAATATTAGCAATTTTTATTTTACGATGCCCCGATGTTCATTGCATTTTTTAACATTTACGACCACAGTCTACTAAAATTCCCGGCATACGCTCGAATGTTTGAACAGACGGAATAGTACAAAACCCGATATTCCAGTATCTCGGACGTTCAAATATTTTGAAACGGGGCCCGCGCGTCGCGATTTATTCCAACGATATCGCTGTTGGAATATTTACAGCCCTAGTTCCCCGCTCATATTTCACGCTACAAACTTACTGCGTGTAATCGTGCGGGATGTTAGCGGTCCAATTACATCGCCGGCATCTGCGATTTGGATTAGACCGCCCGAGTCCGCATGTAAACCGCATACTACGTAGTACGAGAGAGAGAAAGAGAGAGAGAGAGAGAGAGCAATCCCCTCGCGCGTCTTTCGCAAACAAGCGTCGCGCGAGCGTTGTTTGTTCGCGCCTCGCTCGTGCAAACAATCCGCGTGATTGCAAACGATCTCGTGTCGGCGCGTCATTATACGCGTCGTTATGCACGGCGGAGCAGGAGCTCCCTCGAATTTGTAGATCGGAGAACGTGGAAATTTGTCGGGAGATAATATCCCAGATAGCACACTAAATTCGCAAAGTTTAATTCAAGTTTTCTGTCTTTCTGAATTGCAATTCTTTAGGAATTCATAGAAGAATATCTCAGGTAGCACAGTAAATTGGCAAAGTGTTCTTCAAGTTTTCTGTTCTTTTGAATTGTAATTCTTCAGAAATTCATAGAAGAAATCCCAAATAGCACAGCAAATCTGCAAAGTGTTCTTCAAGTTTTCTGTCCTTCTGAATTGTATTTCTTCAGGAATTCATAGAAGAAATCCCAGATAGCACAGCGAATCCGCAAAGTGTTCTTCAAGTTTTCTGTCCTTCTGAATTCATAGAAGAATATCCCAGATAGCACAGAAAATCCGCAAAGTGTTCTTCAAGTTTTCTGTCCTTCTGAATTGTATGTCTTCAGGAATTTATTGAAGAAATCCCAGATAGCAACAAATCCGCAAAGTGTTCTTCAAGTTTTTTGTCCTTTTAAATTGTATATCTTCAGGAATTTATTGAAGAAATCCCAGATAGCACA